CCCCCCCCCCCCCCCCAAATGAGGCCCTGAGTAGTTCTTTCCCATCCTCTTGCAAAACCGACGCTTTCCAAGTTTCCCTTAAAACATACCACACACACACACCCTCCCTTCCTAAGGCCTCCACCGCTGCAGAGCTCTGCTCCCCTTCCCTGCTCGGGGCCCACCCCCTCCACTGTCCCTTTTCTCCCTTGGGAGTCCCGAGATTGGGCCACCCCGGCTGTCCCTGTCCACGCGTGGTGGTGTGGGCCAGCCTGCCTCCATCTTCCCCTGGTTCTGATCTGGGCATCCCCCTCGCTCCTGAGCCCTTCTCTGGGCCTGGCCCTGTCTCTGGGTGCTTTTCCCTCTCCCTGCAAATGAATGGCAGTACCTCTGTGTCCCTTCCTGCCTTCCATGCCACATTATCTGCATCATCTCAGCCCCATCCACCACCACCCTTTACTCATCTCCTGCACCCCGATGCCTCAAACCCTGCTGCACACCCTTGCCCGGTTCCTGCACATCTCCTTATTCCTCTTGTATGCCTCCTGTACATCTCCTTATTCCTCTTGTATCCCTCCTGATTTGCCCTGGCCCACTATGGCCTCGCAGGCCCTCCTGGTATTTCTCCTTTGTTTGCTGGTTTTATATCATCCTAATTTCTGTAATCACCTGCTTGCTTTATGATCCTGCCCTCCTTCAGATTCCCAGAATTGCTGTAAATTATTAGCACCAGTCCACTCCGTGTTATTTTGTCCATTGGTTTGTAGCCCTAGCTTGCTCCCTGGCATATTTTTTAATTAACCCATGTGATGGAGGAGCCACACTCAAGTAGCTTTTCCCTTATTTAAGGTAATATATAGGGCAAGGCTACAGAAAAAGTGCATCCCTCTCTGTACTGGAGCTGCGGTGACCCCTGCCCGCAGGAAGGGGTGTGTGTCTGATGTGGCTCAGCAGCGGACAGCTTGCCTGCAGGTTCCTGCCTGCTCACGGGGAGGGTTTGTGCTTGCACACCCCTTGGGTCAGGGCTGGTCTTACTCCAGCTCTGGATGCCTCGAGCCCCTTCACCTACAGAATGATTTCGACTGGTCTGATGGTTATATGAGCAGATAAGAACTGGCTTAGCTGATAAGAGAAAATTTGAGAGCTAACTACTTCTAAAAATGAGTTTGAGTTAGAAGTTTGGTGATTTCTCAATGCAAAACATTAATTAGGGGCTGCCAAATCCCCCCTCATTAGGGGCTGCCAAAGAGAGGGTTGCAGTCCCGAGAAGGATAATGGTGCTGCCATACACCCAGAGAACCATTTGGGAGGTGCTAATGTGATTCCAGGCACCAATAACCTATTGCACGTTTAAACTGATTTTAATCCTAAAGTTTTATCCACAAGGTCTGTCACTTTGTTGCATTAGGACCTTCATTAGCGAAGGCACAAGCTCAGGACAGGCTCTAAAACCTTGTTTCAAAAAAAACCCCACAACAACCAACCCTCATCGTTAGCATGTCACGGAGAAAAGTTTGATGTGAGGTTACCAGAAAGACAACCAGGATAATTATTGTCTTAAATGTCTCTGTTTTGGAAGCCTAACTTCTAATATTATCAGTACTACATGTGAGGTTTAAAAAAGCAGACCCTAAACCTGAAGCTTCAGTCCCTGTAGGTGTTAGAGCTGAGGTGGCATTGCCTGTGTACTCAGCAGCACGTGGAACATGAGGCTGCAGTCTGCAGGATTGCCAAGCTGCTGATGATAGAGGCTTCAGGTTATGATCATCTGTGCTGGATGTTTCAGGCACTCACATTATATTTCTGGCTTTAATGAACATTTAAAACTAATATCTAACTTCCTTTACAGTCAGCACGAAAACACTGAGCAAGATCTGGGAAACAAGACCACTAATAGTTTACAAAGAACAGTGTCATCAGAATCAACAGACTCAGGTATGGCTTTCTCAATAAGTAGGAAATGAAAAGCATTATATCTTTACGTGCCATTGCAAGTAGCTTCCAGGGGTTGGACAGAGAACTAATCTGCCTGCAATACCTGCAGCCACTTCATTCTTGAACGGAGGGAGGCAGGTGAACCATTACTTGGCAAGCTTTTGCAGTTCACAGTTTGGGTTGTGGGTGCCTTTTTTTTTTTTCTTTTTTTTTTTCTTTTTCTTTAATTGTCCTGGAGTATGTTAGCATAGAGGAGCATGAAGGAAAAACTGGTTCTGCCCCCACAGAGAGCCTCTGTCAGAGACGGCTTTTTTCCTTTTTTCTTCAGGATGGCTGTTAAGATGTGGTTGCTGACCTGTCATGCTTTGTACTCCAGCATGATGTTTATTGCTGCCATTTTCTGATTGCCTTGATGTTCTGCTCTGTACATGGTAGTAGGTCAAAAGCTTATCACGAGTGTATCAGCCTCCCTTGCAGCAGGGACAGCTGACGAGGAAGGCTGCTGGAGATAGCCCAAGATAGGCTTCACTGGTGAATTGGATTCCCACCATTCTCTCCATGGTGTCTTGCAGACATTGGCTTGTGCGAGTTTATAGTTGCGTGCTGGGGCTGAGGTCTGGAAAACAGGGAGATAGTGTTTTGTTCTCCATTGTTAGGATCTGTTGCATATCTGCATTCAGCCTGGAATAGGACTGGTTTGAGTTTCTGCCCTTTGCAGGGTGATAACTTAGATGACAGCAAGTCGTCACCGTGTGTTTTCTCTCTTCAAACCTGAGCTGTGCTAACCTCCTCTGCATGCTCAAATCAAGGCCATTGAGCAGAGTTTGTCTTATGGTTTGGGGGGTTTTTTTTGTGGCTTTTTGTTAACACGAGCTGATTATTTATCTGAAACCTGAGGAGCTGTATCTTAGCACTGAAAAGTGCTTTTTTTCAGATGAGATGCTTTATCAGTGAAGATGAAATCCGCTGTTACCCCATAACTTCCCAATCAGGGAAGCTTCTGATACTTCATTGGTCTAGCCCAGTGATGGAAATCAGTGTCTCCACCTGAATTTATGCACCAGTCTGACTGTGCATGGTACTTTCAGCCTTCAGAGGAACTTTGTGAACCAATAAAACGTGAGAATAGCTCAAACCACAGGGCGGGATGGAATAACCAAGCTTGCTAAATCTTCACTTTCTTCTTGGCTTCCCCCCCCCCCCCCC